TTGCTGATTATCTTGTGAGGAATATGGGGTTAGAGCGCAATCATTATAACCCGGGGACTGGATCTACATTTGATGGCACTGCCTGAGGTGTTGACCGCATGATCATCTGATCAGCACCGAGAAACCGATGATCAGGTAGTAGCAGGGAATAGAAGTGAATGAACATTTGGAGAAACACAAACGACCCATGATAGCGATCGCCGCCAGAGAATAGGCATAGCACAAGCTGAGGAATGGTAAGATTTCTCGTCGGCCCAGTTGCAGTCTACAACGCACTGATGAAAAGAAGAGCCTTACCCAATACGGTAGCTTACCACTTCCGTCGGCTCCTTTGGTTTGTCTGTTGGATTAACAATCAGCGGTTCCTCGGGTGGAGGTAATTCTAACGACGCGCTGCCGTATTTCTTCAACCAGTTTTCATCAGACCACACTGAATGAAAAAAGAAAAACATCAGATTAGATAATGGGCAGTCCATCCGTCTCTTTCCCTGGGTGCAAACTGGCAAGGCCCGGGGGACCCGGGGGAAAAGTATTTTTAGATACACTCATTACCCGCTGGAGTCCATATTTAAAAAACCGGAACGCCGCCTGCACTAACAGTTTGACGGAATCCTAGTCAAAATGTTGAGGATCAACATCAGCATCGACATCATCATGGCATAGTGAAATATGATGAAGCCACCCTCGGTGACTGCTACCAAGCTCATGATGCACACAAAGTAAGCACGAATAGATTGGACAGATAAAGAATGGCCTTCCTTTGATGTAGGGGATGAAGAAAGTGAACCGTTGCAATCATCAAACAGAATACATAGTCTAATTATATGCTTTTAAAAGCATTCTGACCTGATTAGAAATGACAACAATAACTCTAGCGTCGGTTCATTGCCATGTCTTTTACTGTCTCCAAACAACCAGTTACAAAATCGTTGTGATCCCAACCTGGAAGACGGAAGCCATCTACCTTGCCTAATCATTCTAGGCATTACGTCATGCCTTGTCTTCGTGTTACCTGTTAACCTCCAAGTGACTTACTCTATCCGGAGGGGGGGACCTATCATCAACAAGAAGCGG